AGCAGGGAAGCATGTCCTACTAACAGAGAAGAGTGAGCAAGTGGGTTCAGTGCTCATCCTGTGCACCTGAGCCAGCAAGAAGCAAACACAGCTAAATCCCTTCACTAATCTAGACTTAACATCCACCAATAAAGTCTTAAGCCAAATAACTGGGAGAGAAAATGCATGAGTTAATTAAAATATCATGATGCAGTATAGAAAAAACCTTCAGACAGGATAATAAATAATCTATGAAAGGCTAAGCAAAAGGACTCTAATTTATTATTGGTTCAAAAGTACCTCAAGCTTCATAATGGCAATATTAATTAAGTCTATCTCATGTCTATATATGCAAAGGCTTCATTTACAGCTAGAGCTGCAGGTACAGTATCAACACATAACTACCTCAGTTAGAGCAGCTGAACTAGACACTACAATAGCATTTTGGTATGCAATGTTTTTGAATTCTATGAAAAATAAAATAGACTTTCATTAAAGCTGCAGTCTTTACCTAAGATGGTTGCAAGCACTAGTTGTTAATTATAGATTAAACATTTCTGCAACACTTTGAAAGTGAACTTGAAACCAGCAAAAGTAAACCAAGCTCCACATTTCTGAGGATCCAAAGATCACACAACTTCACACATTTTAATTGCTTGCATATATTTAACACCATATGAATTTTCTGTTGCAAAAAGGCTCTTTGTGCACACCCTACAGCAGTGTAATGCTCATCTCACAATTGCTCCTGCTATAGGTACTTACACTGCTGTGCACAAGCTTCTTACCTCATTAAAAGGTTTTTCTAACAGTTAACAATAAGAAATGGATGGTTGTTTAATTGATTACTATTTCCACAGTTACTAGCAAGCCTTCTAAACACTTTTAATCAGCTCAAAATTAAGAGCTATTTGCATTCTAAGAGATATTTACATCATTGAAGTAAAAATAAAAACACAAATCATACTCCTACAGAATCAAGAGATTATATACCCATTAAAAATTGATATAATTAAAGATTTTGAGGTTTTTCTTTATGACTCAAATAAAATACTAGCCCATTTCCACAAACCACTACAGAAGAGCTGCTTAGAACTTCAGTCTACAGTAACAGAACAAAGACAGATGAGGAAACCAAGCAAGCATTTTCACACCAGGTACAAAGACAGCATGTAACCTCAGGACTCAGAAAACCCCTCACACAGGGCTGCAAGCAGACACTGCTTTATAGACTGGGCATTCCCTCTGATAACCACCACACCAGCTGGGCAGTGACCCCAGCTACCCCTCAGCAATGGGATCCCAGCTGTATTTGGCAGAGGTTGGGGATGCACCTGGGGCTCCTGTTAACTCATCAAGAAGGGAGAAGGCAGGGGCCTAGGGAATGTGTTGGGTGATGTGAGAAGTTAGTGAGAAAAGGTGCAGGGGATTTCTCAGTACCTGCAAGGTGCAAGCAGAACAGGATTCTGATCTCTTCCTTGTCATTTAGAGGAAAGAAAATAACCCAGTGCTCAGGCTGCTTTACAGGATGATGGTACACAGAATTCTTCAACATTTTGGTAGAGAGGAAAATGTTTAGGGTTCCTGAGTTATGGATGGGTAGAGCGAGGGATCTCAAGTAATCATTCAAGTCTGAACAACAACAGGTTTTGTCCTACTTGTTTGCTTTTTTTCCTACACTGCTGCATCCATCCTCCCCTCTAACTGGCTTTTTGTACAAGCTACTGACTCTACATCGGGTGAAGTTCAGC